TATAAGTCAGGTGTGTGGCCTTGAGAAAGTTTATTTTCAGTTACTCCCTGGAACTTTCTGTCCACATTGAGGCTTTGTCTCAACATTAGCTAATTAACAGGTCAGCCTCACGTTTTCCACTTCACTCTCGTTGCTAGTCTTTTCAAGTTTTGAAACTTTTAAAAAAGTGTGTAACATAGCACACACATATGTGCACAAAAGTAGTTGTAGAGTTTGATAAATTATTGGTTTTTTAAAAAAGATTTATTTATTCATGCATACACGAGCTGGGGATAGGCCAGAGGTGTGGGGTGGGGGAGGGTGAGAGGATTCACCAGAGACAGAGTGGCGAGCAGAACAGGCGGATCTACTGAAATTCACTGCTGAGGGGAACAGCAGGGGAGACAGAAGAGGTCTGCTGCGCCATGTGGGTCACCTCCCTGGCCGGAGATCGAACTCATGCTGCAGTGGCTGTGGATTGCTTCATAGTGCTGACGCTTAACCGCTTGCGCCACCAGGGAGGCCCTGATAAATTATTGTAAAACAAAATTCTGTGTCATGGCCATACAGGTAAGAAAAGGAATCTTGCCAGATCCCAGAAGTCCTCCCTACTCCCCCCAGCTCCTTTGGCTTAGAGGTCACCACTATTTTGTCTTTTGTGTATGTGCGCATAGAGAGAGAAGAGAAAAAAGTTTTTTTTTAATAAGAGTGTTTCAATAAAATTCCTAAAATCACACATGTCCTCATGGGCACATGCCCAGCCAAACAGGGTTGCCCCACAGTGGGACTGAGGCCTGAAAGCTTGCCACAATTCTCAGGTACCTTCTCACAGGGAATCATCATAGGAAAGTGTTCTGAAGCAGCTCTCAGAAGCTTGGTACCAAAGGAGCAAATAAAGGACAAATCCAGGTAACAGCTGCCATGGTCAGCCTCCTCACAAAGGTCTCTCACCCACATGTCTCTTCCAAGCATCTCTACATGTCTCTCTTCCACGGGTCTCCTACCCAGCAGTACCAGGCTCCAAGCCAGGCAGAAGGGGCAACAGCTCTCTCTTCTTCTGTCTTCTCGACAATCCCACACTTGCTTTTCTCTTTTATTTTATTTCCTAAAGTACCCTCCTCAGAAGACTGAAGGCATTTGAGGCCAGGAAGAGAGAGACTTCCATCACCTGCAGTCAGTGTGACAATTTGTCCCTGTGCTGTCTCCAGATTGCTTTAGGTTACTGATTACACAGGAAATAGGCACATCACTCGGCTATCTTGTCAGTTATCAGAGGGAGGAGGGAGAGCAATCAAGGCTGGCTCTGTAGTCAAAGTTTAAATTCCAAGGCGATTATCTGTTGATTGCAAGTAAGAGGATTCTACTTTGCCACACAAAGGGTTCTGGCAGTTCTGCAAACTTGCAGAATACTTCTGGGTGGGATAATGGTTCTTCTTTTTTTTTTTTTAAAGATTCATCTATTTTTATTTATACAAGAACGGGGTATAGGCTAGACACACAGGAGGGCAAGAGGATTCACCAGAGACAGAGCGGAGAACAGAACAGGCAGACTGACGAAAATACAATGCTGAGGGGAGCAGCGGGGAGACGGGAAAGGTCTGCCATGCCATGTGGGACCCTCGCTGGCCAGCAAGGACCAAATCGGTGCTGCAGAGGCTGCGTGCAGATAGCTTCATAGCGCTGTGCTCAACCACGTGCGCCACCAGGGGAGGCCCCAGATAAGGGTTCTTGACCAAGCTTCCTTTAAGATTGTGCTAAAGAGGAAACTGGTTTCAAAGGGGTTATTCCAATGAATCTATTTTTAAAAAAGATTTATTTATTTATGCATACAAGTGCTGGGGTACAGGCCAGAGACGTGGGGGGTGGGGAAAGAGGATTCACCAGAGACTGAGTGAGGAACAGAACAGAAGGATCTACTGAAATACACTGCTCAGGGAAGCAGTGGGAGAGGCAGGAAAGGTCTGCTATGCCATGAGGGTTGCTCCCTGGCCGGCCCAGGGTCGAACTCTGCTGCAGTGGCTGCAGATAGCTTCATAGGCTGTGTCCTAACCACTTGTGCCAACAGGGAGGTCCCTCAATCAATCTTGAATACAGTTTATTTCCCCTTAGACCTTTGATTTTGAAAAAGTTCAATTTTTGTTTGGAGCAACTAGTACAACATACCTTCTGTACCCATCACTCAATTTCAACAGTCATTGTCTACACTTGCTTCTTTTCTACCATGATCCACTCCCATCTTTGGGATTTTTTTTTTAAAGATTTATTTATTTATTTATACAAGCACTGGGTACAGTCAGAAGCACGGGAGGGTGAGAGAATTCACCAGAGCCAGAGCGGGGAGCAGAGCAGGCAGACTGAGGAAGTGCACTGCTGAGGGGAGCAGCGGGAGAGGCAGGAGAGGTCTGAGCGCCATGTGGGACCCTCGCTGGCAGCCGGAGATCGAACTGGTGCTGCAGAGGCTGCGGGCAGCTTCACAACCCAGTGCTCCACCACTGCGCCACTGGGGATGCCCATCTTTGGGATGTTTTTAAGGATAGTTACTGATATGTCATCATTTTATCCTTCAATACTTTAGGCAAAATTACTTTAAAAACATCACCATCACTATACCATCAAATATGAACAGTAATTCCATAATGATATCAGACACAGGTTTTCAAAAATATAGATTCCCAGAATCTTTTCCTGACCTACAGAATCAGATTTTGGTTGTGGAATGTAGGAATCTATATATTTAAAGTAAGATTCCTGGGCCTCCTGGTAGAGAAAGTGGTTAAGTGTCAGAACTATGAAGCTATCCGCAGCCACTGCAGCATGTGTTCGATCCCCAGCCAGGGAGGTGACCCACAAGGCACAGCAGACCTCTCATGTCTTGCCCGCTGCTCCCCTCAGCAGTGTATTTCAGTAGATCTGCCTGTTCTGTTTCCCACTGTTTCTGGTGAATCCTCTCACCCCTGCACCTCTGGCCTGTACCCCAGCTCTTGTATGCATAAATAAATAAATCTTAAAAAAAAAGATTCCTCAAGTCACATTGAGGTCTGAGAACTGTTAGCTCATTCACAGAGGACCTCTTAAGTATCTCGGAAGGAGTCAAGTATAATCATACAAGCGGGCCTGCCAGTTTCCAGGGTATCAAAACCTTGATATACTGAGTTAGTAGAACTCTTGAAAATCAATTAGAATACATTATGGGAAAGTATAAATTTATTTTTTTTAAAGATTTATTTATTTATGCATACAAGAGCTGGGGTATAGGCCAGAGGGGGGGGGGGGGGGTGAGAGGATTCACCAGAGACAGAGTGGGGAGCAGAGCAGGCAGATTGACTAAGGTACACTGCTGAGGGGAGCAGCAGGCGAGTCAGGAGAGGTCTGCTACGCCATGTGGGTTGCTCCCTGGCCAGGGATCGAACTCCTGCTGCAGAGGCTGCGGACTGCTTCATAGATTGCGTCTTAACCTCTTGCACCACCAGGGAGGCCCGGAGAAGTATAAATTTAAAGGCAATCTTTATGAAACTTTATACAAGTTTTTCCAAATTAATATATCTGGGTCTAATTTCTAAGTATGCATTTATAAGAATTTACAATGTGCCTTGCATTTAAGGGAACAGGAGGGATATAAAAGATACTTAAAAAAAAACCTACATGTTTTGCTCTCAAATAAATGATAAGATTTATTCATGTGAGCACAGGGCATTGGAAACATCACAACTGAGGTGGCCCAGCAAGAAACTCCTGTGAACTGCACTACTTCACTTATTCTCATCTAAGTGGCCAGTCTTAGATTTGGCTACTTCTTTGTTTCAATCCAATTCACAGGTATCAAGGGTCCAGCAGATGCTCAGCGCTGAACTAAAATGTAATAGAGGGGGAGGCAGATGGGGTGTGGGCACAGGTGATTTGGTGGAGGGTGAGTAGGACATGGACACATATGGAAAAATAAAAATGCAACCCCAAAAGTCATGGTCCCCACAACGAAGGGCGCTGGGGATGACAGGGTGACTGGCCGGGAAGGTCGCCAGCCCAAAGTTCTTTCTATATAGTGAGCACCTATCAGAGGCCAGCATTGGGGGGTCACGGGCCCTTGATCCTCAAGAACCGCCAGGGAAATAAGCAGCTTCAAATAGCCGCTTCTCCCAGCGAAAAGCCCCGCGCGGCACCTTCCTGTGGGGCTCCAGGGAGTCGCTGCCGGGCAGGGAAGAAGCTCTGTCCAGATGTCGCCCGCTGGCGGAGCACGACTCGGCCCCAAGCAGGGGTGGAGACAAGGCCGGTCCCTCCAGATTCTAATCAGAGGGCGCAGGCAGGGAGGAAGTGGCTGCCTCGGGGGGATGCATCGGTCCGTCGGAACCGGTCTCAGGGAGGGCTTCTGCCGCAGGGGAGGCGCCCCCCGCCGCCGGAGCCCGCGGCGCCGACCTCAGGAATCTGCAGCCCCAAGGTGGAAGCCGACCGGCCCTCGGCAGCCTCCAGCCAGAGGGGACGTCTCCGCCCGAGCCCCGGGAGCTTAATCCTGCGCTGCGGGCACCAGGCGTGCCCCGTCCTGACTCAGTGGCAGCAAGCACGGACAGCCCCGGGCGCAGGCGGCTGGGTTTTCCCACCGCAGGCTGCGTCGGGAACTCCCGCCCCGGGGGCGCAGGGGTCCGCGCTCGGGGGACCGCGCCCGGGCGCCCTTTGCAGCCGGCTCCCCGCCCCCCCCCCTTTGCAGCGGGCTTTTGCACACGACGCGCGGCGGGCCGCTTCACACGGGGTGGGGGGTGGGGGTGGATAAAGCGGGAGGCCGCGGGGCGCAGCGGCGAGCGCCGACTGGCAGGTGCGCCCGGCGCGCGGAGCCGGGGCTGGAGGGGCAGCGAGCCGGCCCCGCCGCTGCCGAGCGCCGTCCGGGCGGGAGCAGGTGCGCGGCGGCGCGGGCGGCGCGGGCGGAGCGGGCAGCGCGGGCGGCAGGTGAGCGGGCGGCAGGTGAGCGGGCGCCCGCAGCCTCCAGGGCGCACGGGGCAGCGCGGGGGCGCGCGGCTCGCGGGATCCAGCGCATGGACACCACGGAGAAGCAGCATCTGCTGGACGCCCGGGCAGGCGCCGGGTAAGGCGGGAGTCCGGGGTAGGGCGGGAATGTGAGCGGCGGCAGACGCGCCTCCTCTAGCGTCCTCTGGCAGAGGCTCGTCTTGGCGGCGCTTTGAACCGGGACCACGCAGGAGGGTGGCGCGAGGCGAGGGAACCGGGAGATGGGCGTGTGGGCACGGGGACCGTCCCTGCCTCGCGGCTAAGCGCGGAATCTGACTCCTGCCCGCTGGTGGGGAGCCGGGTGCCTGGAGCCACGTGCCCCGCCCCGCACCTTGCCCCAGGCAGGGGCGCCCTGGGAGGCCCTGCGTCCCCAAGTGTGCGAGCCGGGTCGGCTCGGTTGCTTCTCCGCGCTCCGCTGAACCGGCCTCGCCCCTTGGCTGTTCCTCAAGGTCTTTGCCTCCTCCAGGCCCCAAGACTCCTGGATTGGTCATTTCCCCACCCTCTGAACCCTGGCTTCTGGTCACTCCTTCGCTGGCGTGCGGGGTGGACACATGGGGACGCCGAGGTGCCGCAGAGATAGGGCTGGCGTCAGCAAGCTCTACCCCAGCTCAGAGTCTCCCCTCCTCTCTGGCCAGGTCTTACACGGAATCCCTCTGGCAGGAGGGGGCTGGCCGGATCCCTCTCCCTGCGCCTGGCCTGAACTTGCAGGCCATTGAGCTGGCCGCCCAGAGCAACCATTACTGCCATGCTCAGAAGGGTCCTGGCAGTGCCTGTGACCCCAGGAAGAAGTGGGCCCGGCGCCAGCTCTGTGTGGCCTCTGCCATCTGCCTGGTGTTCATGATTGGGGAAGTGGTTGGTAAGGACCTTTGTGCTATTTAAATGAAATTGGCTCCTGCAGAACCTCTATGATCCCAGTAATAGTAATACCAGCTGCCCCATTGATTGAACACTCACTCTAAGTCCTCCCTTTCCCTAAGCTTTGCTCTCCTTGGTTTCGGTTACCCCAGGTCAGAAAATATTATGGAAAATAAGATATTTTGGGAGAGGGAGGGATAGAGACCACATTCATAGAACCTTTATTACCATGTATTATTGTAATTGTTCTATTTTATTAATTATCATTAATTTCTTACTTTGCCTAATTTATAAACAGAAAAAACCTACATGTTTTGCTCTCAAATAGCATGGGTATGCATCTATAGGAAAAAACCCCACTATATAGGATTTCTCACTATTGTGGTTTCAGGCATCTCCTGGGGTGGGTGGTTGGAACAAATCCCCAGTGTGTAAGGGGGGGCTGCTGTGCATATTTCCTCATGTGATCCTCACAATAGCCTTATGCTGTCATATGGGTGCTGTTATTTTCCTTATTTTTTTCAGCTGATGAAACTGAGGCAGGTTGAAGTTAAGTAATTTGCTCATGATCATGCCTAACTAGTAGGTTAGGGAAGGCCTGAATGCCTAGACAAAAAGCGTTTGCCTACTATGCTTTTCAGGCCTCATTTGAACTTGATCCTCACATTCATCCTCCAAGTAGATGTTGTGTGTCACATTTTACCTCTAGTAGAAGTTGAGGCTCTTAGCTCACGGTTATGCTGCTAAGGGTGAAGAGGTCCAGTGTCTTTCTCCAGAGCTCATGGTTTCCATGCTACACACAGAGTCTGCAAGTCGGCCCCTTGGGGAGCTGATCAGGCTCCATCCTCCCTGTCCTGCCCCCGCAGGTGGGTACCTAGCACATAGCTTGGCTGTCATGACCGATGCAGCCCACCTGCTCACTGACTTTGCCAGCATGCTCATCAGCCTCTTCTCCCTCTGGATGTCCTCTCGGCCAGCCACCAAGACCATGAACTTCGGCTGGCAGCGAGCTGGTGAGAGCCCTCGTTAGGCTGGAGTGGGGCTGAGAGATTATTTAAAAGCACTGTTCTCTGGTAGCTGCAATGGGTGGATCTGTGAGTGAGGCCCAGAGGGATCTTAGGTGGGGGAGTAAGATGCCAACTTGGGCTTCTGTTCCTTGGGAGTTCCCAGTCTGGTGGGGGAAGCAGTGGTCCCCTGTCCTCCAGGAGCTCCCTGTCTGCAGGGAAGGAGGGTTCGGCTGCCTAAGAAACGAAGTGGCCAGACTTCACGAACAAGTGACCGTGACATAAACGGCACATAACTATAGGTCAGCTAAGCCTTTGAGGGTTTATACACTATAATCCTCTTCAGTTCATCTCTGGGCTGTGCTGTCATTTTCTTCTTGGTGGAAGATGGTCCCTCTTTCCTAGAAGACTCGGATGGCCACCTGAACACTAGGCTTAAATTTTAATAGGTTATTTTCTTTACATGTAACACAAAAGTGTTGAGCCAGATGGCTTCTTAAATGCCTTCTAGCCTTGGCACTCTCTGAGATATGCAGTGGGTGGATAAGGTGCAGCAATGCAGTCATACCTTTAGCAGAGGCCAGTGGGACCCAGGCCCTGACCTTGGTAGCAGGTGGAGGGGAGACTGGAGGGAAGGGTATCTCCTCAGCCTCAGGGCCCCCACGCTAAGGCTGGTGTTGGGGGTTGGTTCTTTCATAGAGATCCTGGGAGCACTGCTGTCTGTTCTGTCCATCTGGGTCGTGACCGGCGTGCTGGTGTACCTGGCAGTGGAGCGGCTGATTTCTGGAGACTATGAGATTGAGGGGGGCACCATGCTGATCACATCAGGCTGCGCTGTGGCTGTGAACATCATGTGAGTGTGGCCTGGGCTCCCCAGGGTCCTTGCTCCTCCCACTTGTCACTGGTGTGCCTGGTGCCTGCTCTCGGTAGGAGGCCAACAGCACTCGGGTGCAGACACCGGAACTCCTTTCCCTACAGGTCTGAGCTCAGGCACCTGGAACACCTGGTTCTTGTCTTAGGCCCAAGACAAGGCCAGCGGGATGTGTAACTCTGGGATGGCACCGCTTCCCCCCCCAATACATGTCAGGGAATGACCTGGAGGCTCCAGGTCCGATGGGGAGGGGCCGATGTCCTTAGCAGCGGAATCCAAGTCCTGTTGGGGGTTGGTTCTTTCTTAGAGATCCTGGGAGCCCTGCTGTCTGTTCTATCCACCTGGGTCATGACCCGGGTACTGGGGTACCTGGCCGAAACCTGTGTAGAGCATGGGTGTGTTGCTTGGGGTCTCTCTCTCTTGGTTCAATGGCCTTGCCTACTTCCCTCTTAAGGCCTCAGTTTTCCCATTGGTGACATGACCTCCATAATGCCTTCTTGTTCTGGCTCTGGTGCTGGGGCATCTTTGTGCCCAGATTCAGTCTGGCATTAGAACTGAGTATTTTCTCCTCTGGCACTTTGAACGAAGCCCCAGGGGTCAGGTTTCTTACATGGCCAAAGAGATCACATGGAATCTGGGGTTTGGAATTTTTACCCCACAGGGGAGCGCCCTATAGGTGGCTTTTACCTGATTGATGGGAAGCCTCTTCCTGCTACCTCAATGATCCCTGGCTTTGTCTCCACTTCTTAGAATGGGGTTGGCTCTTCATCAGTCTGGCCACGGGCACAGCCACGATGCCACCCAGCAGCAGAACCCCAGTGTCCGAGCTGCCTTTATCCACGTGATCGGAGACTTTCTGCAGAGCTTAGGCGTCCTGGTGGCAGCCTATATTTTATACTTCAAGGTCAGAACCTGGGACAGAGAGAAGGTGGTGATGCGGGGAGCAGGAGAGTGTAAAGTATCTGGGGTTCCTCTCTACTCAGGACTTTTTCTAGATTCTAGGTCCCTTCCAGCTCTGGGCAAAAGAGTGGGGAGAAGGAAGGAACATTTATTTCTCTAACACCTACCAGTGTCATCACATCTGATCTTCACAGCAACTATGAAGGCGGGGGTGGGGGGTGAGTTTCCTGAAGTTCAGAAAGATTCTGTGATTCTCAGTGTCCCCTAGCTGGTAAGTCGTGGTGCCAGATTCACACTCAGCACTGTGCGCTGCCAGAGCCTGGCCTACTTGTCACGTGGCAGCAAAGTGGTGTGGTGGAAGGAGCTGGGTGCCCAAGGCTGGCTCCACCCTGCTAGCCATGCCATGTGCAGTGAATCACTGGCTCTCACTGAGCCTTAGTTTCCCCATCCATGAAATGGGACACTGGACCAGATGGTGTTAAGATTCCTTTCAGTTCTGTCCATGTCACAGCGCCTTGGGCGAGGGCAGCTAGAAAAAGATTGTTCCTTGTCCTGAACCATGGTCTGTCCTGCCTAGCTTTCTGGACACAGAATGAAAGGTAGGGAGCTGGGAGGCAGTGCCAGGGTAAGGCTCATACCCCACCCTGAAAAGAGTGCCTTCTCCCCTACTGGTGCTGGGTTGGAATGGGGAAGGGAAGCTGGAGTGTTGGGTGGTGAACCCCAGCTCTGCCTTCACCTTTCCCTGCAGCCAGAGTATAAGTATGTAGACCCCATCTGCACCTTCCTCTTCTCCATCCTGGTCCTGGGGACAACCTTGACCATCCTGAGAGATGTGCTCCGGGTGCTGATGGAAGGTAACCTGGGCTATGGTTTCCCCTTTTTGCTCTTGGGGCGCTCCAGCTCTAATCCAAGTTGGGGTGTATGTGTAGGGGGGGGTGAGGATTCTAGCACATTGGCAGGGAGCCATGGTCTGGTGGCTGGCACAGGCTGAAGACCCTCCTGGGGCCCCAGGCCAACCTTGGCATCAAGCTGGGATTCAGATGTGGCCATTCCTGGAAATGCCCCACACTCCTTCCCTCACCCAGGCCCCTCTGGGCCGGAATATGTCCTCTCTGGCTAGTCTGGCGGCTCTGGTTGGGTTCTGTAGTGCCTGGCCTGTAGCTCTTCCCCATATACCTCCTCAGTCTCCAGTTACCCTCTTCCCTCAGGCAGGGAGGGGTAAGGATGGTGCTTCCCATTGCACATTTGCAGATGAAAGTTCAAGAGACCGTGGGGTGGGACAAAGTGCCAAGTCCACTCTGAGGCCCCTCCCTTGGAGGTCACGGGGGGCTCCAGAGCAGCCAGCGCCCTCAGTAGTCAAATGGTCTCACTAATCACACTTGTTCACTGGCTCTTGCACTCCAGGGTCTTGGGTAATGGAGCTGGGGTGCTCAGGGTCAGTCTGGAGTTAGGGGCTGGTTTAAGGTCAGTAGAAGTGTCCAGTTGCAGATGGGAAACTAACAAATAGGATCATTTTAGACCTGTTACATGTGAAGAGGGTAGTATGATGGCGCACTTTGGGGGGAGGGGCGCATCCCATCTGCTGGCCAAGGAGGTCTTCTCTGAGCAGATGGGCAGCAGCAGCCAGCCTGGGGGGAGGGGCAGTTTCCTTCAGCCTCTGTCCCTGCTGTCCTCAGGGACTCCCAAGGGTGTGGACTTCACGGCTGTGCGGGATCTGCTGCTGTCGGTGGAGGGGGTGGAAGCCTTACACAGCCTGCATATCTGGGCCCTGACTGTGGCCCAGCCCGTGCTGTCCGTCCACATTGCCATCGGTGAGTGGTTGGGACGCTTAGGGCGGGTGAGGGGGAGGGCAGCAGGAGGGCCGGCCATCCCCCACGTCCAGGGGCATGCTTGCAGGGTCCATGCATTGAACCTGGCCCCATGTCCTGTGCACATCATTGCACTTGATCACCACAATCCCATCTCCAGATGCAGAAACTGAGGTGGGGGGTGGGGTGAGGTGATGGTCACTTGCCCAGACTTTTTCTGCTAAGTGGCAGAGGAAAGCAGATTTCAGCGTAAAGCCTGGGCTTCCACTCTTTTAGGATTGAGCCAGGGATGGGAGTGGAGGATGGCCTGGTGCAGGAGTGGGATCTGGGGCTTCCTGACGTTCATGGTGCCCCATCCTGTTCTACTGGGGGTGGTTAAGAGACTTGGGCTCTGCATTGTTCGAAAGACCCAAGAGTGAACAATCGGTTCTCTCTGGCCTCCTGGTGTGTCCTCCTGGCCCCCAGCTCAGAATGCAGATGCCCAGGCAGTGCTGAAGGCAGCCAGCGCCCGCCTGCAGGGGACATTCCACTTCCACACCATGACCATCCAGATCGAGGACTACTCGGAGGACATGAAGGACTGTCAGGCGTGCCAAGGTCCCTCCGACTGACTGCCCAGCCAGGTGCCAACTGGGGCATGGGCAGGACCTGCAGAGAGCAGCACTGAGTGTCCCCCAGGCTGTCAGGACACTGTGCTATAAGCCAGGTCCTCTCCTGACCTCTGCCCCATGTCCAGTGTGGAGGAGCCTTGCCCCACTCAAAGAACAGGGTTCCCTCCCAGCCTCCCCCATCTGACTACAGCCAGCCCGAGGACAAGGACTCAGCAGGCATAAAACTAGTGTGGCCCTGCTCCTCCAGCTCCCGGCGGCTCTCTAGAGGCTGGGTTTGGGCCTCCACAGCTCATGCTGTCCTCCCACCAGCCTTGGGTAGGGGGCACAGTGTGGGGTGAGGACACCTGCTCTCCTGCTGTGTCCTTTGATTTTCAGCATGTCTGGCTCTGCCTCATGAATCTGTAAAGAAGTCAGGGAACAGAGCCTCCTCCCTCAGCCACTAACAGTATGATTTAAGGAGACCATGAGCTTGGGGAGGGGTTGTGAGAACCCTGCATTCTTCTATGGGAAACCAGGGGGCACCCAAAGCTTCACCTGTGCCATAGTCACTTCAGCTATAAACCAAATGTTCCTGGAGGGAGGAGGCTTCCAAGTACTTGAGGAAGGAGCTGGTTTCCTCTATTCCCATTACTCTCCCCAGGGAGCTGTCTCCACACAGATGTCCTTCAGCCTGGCTGGTGCCCTAGCAGCCTCCAAGCCCCCCAGGCTACTTCTTGGGCCCTGGTGGTGTCCTGCAGGTCACAGGGCCAGCTGCATTGCTGGGACGGCCGCACCTGCGCAGGACTTGGGGGCAGAGGACAAAGAGGGGTCATACAATTGGGGCAGGAGACACTGGCTTTCTGAAATAAGAGTGGCTGTTTATAAGATGAGGGGGAGCCCTTCTCCAGCCGCTTAGAGGGGCAACTTGCCCAGTCATCCGGTGGCCTGGTCTAGTGATCTGTCTCTGCCATGACAAGGGAGTGACCAAGGCCAGTTGCTCCTGTGCTGATTCTCATCTGAGATGGACATGCTGACACCCACCTACAGGGCTGTCTGAGGACTGGAGCAGAGCTGCGCAGCAGCCAGTGCTCACTGAAGAGGGCTTATTTTTATCATCACCGTCCTGAAAAGATGCGGCCTGAGGCTGCCTTGCTAGGTGGGTTCCTCGCCTTCCAGGGGCAGCAGCGAGTGTGTGCTGCCTGCCTGGAGGGTCAGTCATTCTCTGTCCCTTCTGAGTCTCTCTGTCCATCTGTGAAATGACCTTTTTGTGCCTTTTCAGCATTGTCACCTGGGGTGCCTGTGATCTAGGTCAGTGGGTTCTTCAGCCCCTTAAAATCTCTGGGAAGTCATTTGTGTTGAAAATGTGTGTGTGTGTGTGTGTGTGTGTGTATGTGAGAGAGAGAGAGAGAGAGAGACTGCGAATGGCATGCTTGACTCCACCCCATTCTCTGGGGTATCAACCCGCTGCTCTTGGCAGGCCCCAGAAGCTGGATCCTCAGTTCTGCTGTATGCCCAATATTATACTCCGGTCAAGGAACAGTCATTGTGCTCCTCATATTTACAGATGAGAACGGCAAGGCCCAGAAAGGTTGGGTCACTTTCCTGAAGTCACACAGCCAATGCGAAGCAGGTCTGGGGTTTCTGCCTCACTCTCCTAGGTCTCCCCCTGCTCTGGCTGCATGCTGGTACAGTGAGAGCCCTTGCTCCTCCACACAGGCAAGGCCTTGCCAAAGCAGTTCAGTGCCACAGCTGGGACTGGGGAGGGGAAAGGTGTCTCTTTCCCTTGGCAGGGCCTGGTGCAGGGCGCCCTACCCCCTGGGAAGGTTGCCTGGACTGCAGCTGTGTGCTTCCTCACCCACCCTCAGCTGTTTTTGATTCTGGGCCGTACAGTCTTTCCTCCTTAACTCCCTTTCCCCCTTCACCTCAAGAACTGAGCTGCCTCATGTCTCCCTCTCTGTACCCCTGGGCGTGACTGTCCCCTGGGAGGACCTGAGTCATCCTGGGACCAGAGGGCAGGCTGTGGGATGGGGGTGGGAAGCATTGGAGGGGCCTTGGCAGACCGCATGTTCCTGCCAGTGAGAGAGTCCTGGGAGTTTCCAAAGCTTCCTGGGAGTTTCGAAGCCGGAAAACAGTCAATACCCTGGACCCACCACCCCCACCTCTCCAGAATTGTCCTTGCTCCCAGACGAACCCCAATCCTCCTCCCCCCATGCAGCTGCTGTAGAGGTATTTATAGCCTGAGCCTGAGGGGGCAAGGGCACTGCGCTTTATTTCGGAAGTGATAATTCCAGGTCCAGGTGGATGAACCCAGGAGAACCCAGGTCCCCTCCTCCACAACACGCCCGGCTCCGGGGAGCTCCTGGCCGCCCCTGCTCCCACCAACCTACTTAGAAGTGCCCCCTTCAGTCCTAAGCGTGTGGGCCAAGGGGAGGGGCTTATTTTCTATACCTCCTCCCCAGCTTTCAGGCCGCTGGCTGCACACCGCCACCCTTCCAAGTCTCCTTGGCCGCAGTCTGCGTTGACAACGCCAACCCCTCTCCGGGCGCGGCGCGGCGCCGGCCTCTAGCGGTCCAGGCCGGCAATGCAGAGGCGCGGCCGGGCCCGGGCCGGGCGGGGGCCGACCGCTTGGCTCCCTTTTCTTTTCTCCTCTCCCCGCGCTGTCGGGAACCAAACCCTAAAACTGGGGCTTCCTGGGGCCTCTTTGCTCCATCGTCGGGGCCCTAGGACTGCGCCTGGCAACCCGGGTGTCTGCGGGCAGCTGCTTTCCCGGGCAGCTAGGGACCCCGGGGAGGGAGGGAGGCGGAGTCCTGCCTGCTACCGTCGGTGTCTGGCCCGCCACGCTCGCGTCCCCGTCTCTGCTCGTCGAACACCGGCGGCCACTGGCCGGGTCAGAGACCCCCGGGGCTCTGGCGCCCGTCCTGCAAGGCAGTGGGAGCGGTGCCAGGACCGAACCCACCGAGAGCGGAGACGGGGCTCGGGCAAGTCCCCGGGGCGGCGAGAAGCTGAAAGCCAAGGTGGCGTCGGCGCGGCGCGCAGAGCGGGGACCCCGAAGCGGGGCAGAGGCGCGGGGCGGGGCGGGGCCGCACGCCCGCAGCTGTCACCCGCCGCCGCGTGGGAAGCGGGCGGAGCCCCGCCCCCTCCGGGCACTCGCTCCGCGATTGGCCTATCTCAGTCTGACGTGTCAGTAACTGGCCGCCTTGATTGGGTCTCCGCGTGGCCCCGCCCCCACCCCCCGGCGGCCGGGGCGCGACCAGGCCGGGGTCTCCGCGGGCCCCTCCTAGGGCCTCTCCAGGCCGCGGTACCGCTTGCGCAGCACCGACACCGGGTCCTTGAAGAGCACCGGGTCCAGGCGCAGGCGCGAGGACACCAGGGGCATGTAGCCGAACGCTGCCGCCGTGCGGTTGATGCAGTCGTGGGCGGCGGGCTGCGGCTCCCGCCAGGGCTCTGCGTCGCCGGGCGCCTGGGAGCGGGAGGGAAAGGCGGTTGTGGTCTGCGACCCCCCAGCCCCTCATCCCTACCCCCGCCGCAAAAAGGTCTTGGATAGACTAGGAGAGGAGCCCTCCCTCCAGCTCCCAGCCAGCGCCGCCCTGTGCCTCCATCCTCACCGCTAGGGGTCTGGCCTCCTGGTGCTGCTTCCCATAGGGCACCTTGATAGGTGGCAGCTTGGTGACCGCTGCTACGAGGCAGTTCATCACGACGTCCACGCAGAAGGGCACCTCATCCGCCAGGGTCCTCAGAGCCTTGGGCAGGGAGTGGGTGAAGAGGGTGTGGTAATACCTGGGCAAGAGAGCAGGATAGGGAGAGGCTGCAGCCGAATTCACCCCTCAGGCCCATTCTCCTCCTTCCTGACCTCACTACCTTTGATCCCAATCCTTTCCAAAGCCCTGCCCACCTCAGAGTTCCAGCCCCAAGTACAATTAGCCCGCACTGTTCTGTGCCCTGTGGCTGGTCTGCAGCCAGGGGTGTACTCTCTGACCATCCTGAGTCCCCACCCCTGGGATCTGGGGTCTAACTGGGCCAGATAAGAGGATTAGCTGGTACAAAGGTCATCAAAATATGGCAGCCCAGAGACCATCTTCAAGAAGGCTGTGGATTAACCAGGCTGATGCAGCTCAAGAAGAGTTTCACCCCCACCTGAGCCCTGTCCCCAGCTTCAGAGCAACCTGGCCCCACCCTGTCAACAGAGGTGTTTTTCACTTTACCAAGAATCCCTTGCAGAGCCCCTGGATAAATCTCTAAGAGGTGCCAGGTTACACATCTTGGTTTAAACATGTCTAAGGAACCCCTCTGAAGCATCCCTCCAGAATTCACTCCCTGCCCCAGGACTAGGTTGCCTCAGAGCTTCTGGAAGCCCTGGGACAAACTCTGGCCCATCACACACATTTATAAAGCTTCAAGGCCATTGTCTTCTTACCTCCCCCGCCCAACACTGCCCGTGCCCTCTGCACGGCTCTACTTAAAATAATCCGGTTCTGAGCAGGAGGGCACACCCATCTGTGCACCAGGGGCTAAGCATGGTTTTCTCATTTGACTACCTGCCACATTTTACAGACGAGGAAGCTAAACCTCAAGGGGGCAAGGAGACACAATCACACACTAGGAAGTGGCAGATCTGGGCCTTGAACCCGGATCTCAGCTCTAGGCTTTTTTCACTCCCAGGTTATTCTGGTCCTGATTCAACGAGGGGTTCTCTGGCTTCTGACCCCAGGCCCGGGCTACCATCTGTACCGATGGTAGAAGGCAGCTGAGGTGAGCACCATGGAGAACTCGTTGGTCTTCTCTGCAGTGTAGGCCCAGCCATCCCGAGCCTCGTCCCAGAAGTGGCTCCAGGTCAGAAAGCCCACCATCCGCTCCGGGAAGCTCTGCCACACCACAAAAGCGAAGTCCACCTGGGGAGATATTTAAGTGAGGTCTGAGGAAGGACTTCCGGCCAGCCAGGAACTTCCAGAGATACGGGGGCAAGGCCCATCAGCTGAGGGGACTCAAGGGAGAGGTTGATCGTGAACCTTCCCAGGGGATGCTTAGGGGAACTTTTCCAGCTGGTAGCCATAAAAGCAAGGCTTTCAAGAGAGTCTGTGAGAACTGCTATTAGATTTCTAAGGAGGAGACTGATTGGCTTGCTGGGGTGATTTCAAAAAGAGGGGGCTTGACCTCTGGTCCCCCCCAGTTCTAGGAACCTGTCCCTACTCACGTGGGCTCTTCTTGGGCCCAGTCCTCACCTCACTTGTGGAAAGACTGCTGTGGGCATCGAGGCTGAGGATGGCGTTGGTGCTGATGGCACTGTAGGGGAAGAAGCGGTTGCTGGCCTGCAGGGTAAGGGGGAGCGGACACCTCAGTCGTGGGGCCATCCCTTGGCTCCCCAGTGGGTATCTAAGTATCAGCTAAGTTGGACCCCCTGCGGGATGGTGTGCAGGAGGGGCAGTTACAGAGCAAGCCTACCCAGAGCTCACAGTGGGGGACATGTGTCTCTCTGGACTTCAGGTCCCCATTTGGTAAAAGGGGGCAGTGGGTCCCTAGGGGTGATTCCAGTGCCGATGGCTCAGGACTCCTCTAATGTCACACTAGATGCTCTTCTCAATGTTGAGAGGAGCTGCCGGTCGTCAAACATCCTTTGTTTTAAAGAAACTGGTGCAGAGAGAAAGGGGTTGTGCAGAGACACACACGGCCAGCGTGTGCGCACACCAATGCAGATTCTTCCAGGTCGCCCCTTTCTGGCTCAATGTGTTGCCATCTGTGCCTGTTTCCTCAAGATCTCAAGTTTCTCTTCTGTTCTTCATCTGAGACACCCAACGTACACCCGCCCACATTCCCTCATGCCATAACACTGCAGCTCTCTGGCAGCACAGTGCACAAGGGCTAGGGGTGGAAGAGAATCATTTCTATTAGACCGTAGCCAAAACTCACTCTGATTTCTTCAGACCCTACTTTAAGTCCAGCTTTGACTCAGACCCAAGTAAAGCACCCACTGTGTGCCCTCCCCAGTTCCCAGCATTCAGGGACCAAGTCCAGCCCTCCCATGCCCCTCCCCACCCCTTACCTTCCTGTGAGCATCAATGACTGTCAAGGGCACTGATGTCTTGGGCCACCTGGGTGGGGGTAGGCTCTCGCTGCCCCAGAGAACCAAGATCTAGGAGGAAAGGGGGGTGTTCCTGAGGTCTGGGGCAGAAGGGGGGCGGGTGGAAATATGGGAGAGCAGCTGATAGGTGAGTATGGAGGAAAGCTTAGTTGGATCCGAGGTCCTTTCATTGCTGCCCTCTTCTTGCCTCTGGGCTTCTGGACGGCAGGAATTGCAGTGGTATGGAGGTAGCGCCCATGGCTTTGGAACTCAAGAGTCTGTTACACTCACTCCTAGCTCGGGCCCTGACCCCAAACCCTATCCCCATTTCTTGAAGATTTATCTGTTCCTTTATCACCCCCAACCCCAGCTCAAATGCCCAATCTTTGGAGTCACTCTGTCTGTGCCCTGAGTCTCCCTGGCTTCTCCGGAAGTGAGATTTCAGTCTGTATGTCAAGAGCTGTGAACTTCAGCTGAAGCCCAGGGCAAAATCCTTTCCTGCTTTTTCTCTGCATACTCAGGGCCTGGTGCTCAGAAATGACTGCTGGGTGAATGAATGAATGAATGTTTACTTTTCTAGCCTTCCTTTGAGGCACCTGGTTTGTGAGGTGGCTTTAGTTCCATGAGGGAAGGAGGAATGGGGATGGGATAAAGGAATGTGGAGGTTGGGACGTAACAGAGGACGGCAGCAAGGGCATTTGAATACCCTCCCGGGGCCTCCCCCCAAACTGCCTGGTTATCCTTGGGGTCTAGATGTCTTCAGGAGCCCTGCCCTGTCCCTTGCCCCACCCTGGATCCCAGCTGGTAAGGGGCCAGACCTGGGCACAGTGTTGGGAGCCTGCCACCGCCTGGATGAGCTTCAGCGGGGGCTGGCTTAGGGCCCCCACCCAGATCAGGGCGCTGAACCTGCCTCCAGGGTGAGAGCCTGAGGGAATGAGACACAGGCTATTAGGGTGGGAAGGGACAGAACACACTGGAGAATGACATGAGTCAGGGACCCCAGGAGTCAGGAAAGATAATGGAGACTTGGGGAGGGTCTTGGTGGAGCTCTCGGGATTGAAGCAAGGGCAGACTTGGGAGAGTTGAGGAGGGAACTTTAAGTCGTCCAAACCCCAGGGCATACCGTGTTGTCGGTAGTAGAAGGGGAAGTCTGAGGGGCTTGTAGAAAAAGTGGGCAGGGCCAGGAGTGCCCCAGGGGGGGTGTTCCACAGCAGCGATGCGTGAGCAGTAGCTCCAAAGACCCGGTTCTGAATAACCTGTGAAGTGAGAGCGGGCTGTGCAGAGGAGCGGCAGCGGGGCGGTTGGTGGGGTCTGGGGAAGTGAGGTCCTGGTGCAGCCCCACACCCCCCCCTCCGGCACACAGTGTGGCAGCTGCAGGGGACAGCAGGTTCAGATGCTGAAGTCCAGAGCAGATGGCGCTCAGGGAGGCGTCCAGGTGCAGGTGGTGATGAGCTTGCTGCCTCTCCTTTACTCAGGGCAGACATCACTACCAGGTCATGACATTTTTCTGGACTCAGAATCTCTCTCAACATAGCACCCTCCTCCTGGTCACCCCCCACTCCCACCCGCAGTCATTGCTTGTCTACTAGAGTTGGCACATGCTTTAAAATCAATTAACCATAGCTGAACCTCTACAGATAGGGAAACTGAGGCCAAGATTGGAGAAGGGACTTGTCCAAGAGATCAGAGCCAAGACTCAGATTCATCCCAGAAGCGTCTGGGTGCGGGGGGCTCAAACACCTGGGCAGGGGAGGTATCCCGAGACAGGGGTGTGGAGAGGGAATGGGGATGAGGCAGGAATCCCCCCAGGTGAGTCCCCCTCACCTCCAGAGTGGTATAGATGACCTTCTCCACTGAGGAGAAGTAGGCATCCCATAGAAACTGGGTCTGCTGACGCAAGGCAAGGACTCGTGCGGGGGGCATCTCCTGGAGGGCAGCCAGGACCTGGGGAACAGAGGGAGAGAAGGCGAGGGCATGGGGCCTTGTCAGGCCCTGACAGACTCTCTTCCCATGGTTCTCCGAATGAGTTAGCAGTAGCCACCACAGTCAAGACCCAGGTAATCTAAAAATCAAGTGTGCAAGGGTCACACAAAGCTGGGTTTAAGTACACTTAGTAATTGTGTGCCCGTGGACAAGCCACTTAACTTCTCTGAGTGTTTCCTCACCTGTCCAGTGGGGTTAATAACCACCTGTTTCTGAGGATGGTTGTGAGGATTGTTAGATGATTCACACTGGAGGCTTGGGAAATGGTGCTATTGCTACCGTTCTCACTTCTCTGAGGACTCAGGACTCACATATGCTTTTCAGAGCTGGGCAAAATTAGTTTCATCTGATGGAAAAGTCACTGTGCATTTTGCTTTCCCACCCCAAGTCCCATGGAGACGCTCAGATTTTCCATTTCTTGTAGATTTCCTTTAAATCGGGTCTTTACGCAGTCATGGGCCAATGGAGCTGGACCTGTGGAAATAATCTAGTCTAACATCCCATTTTACAGATGGGTCAACTGAGGCTGAAAGAGGCTTGGGATTTCCTCAGAGGCCTTGGGAGTGTCTGCCCCATCTCATCCCACAGGAGTCCCAGAGAGCAGGCTTGGCTGAGGGCAAATCCATCAATATGATCCATGGTGGACTGAGGCCAGCGTGGGGACCAGGATCCTAGGGTCCCTCCCATGTCCCGGGTCCAGTCCCACCCCATGGGCAGGGCCCTGAGCTACCTGAAGTGGGAGCCTCTCGTCAGCTACGATGGCCGCCTTAGTCCAATCAATGACCTCGGAGAAGGGCAGCACCCAGCGAGGGCTGAGCAGCACAGGGATGCAGCCAGCCTGGGGGAGGGGGCATTAGGGGGGCCACTGGGGAACCCAGTTCCACCTGCACATACTCACCCACCTCCCAATTCCAAGTCAGCAACTGCTGCTGTTGGGGGCAAGCGTTAGAGAGGAGAGAAAAGTGGGGCTTTTTTTTGTGGGGGGCAGTTATTCTGCAGAGGGTGTGGTGAATGTGGCCATAGGCACACCTGAGTCCCAGAACATAGGAGTGAGAGCTCCCTGCCCCTTCCCCTGGGCCCAGAGCACCCCCTGCCAGCTCGGGAGTGTGTGTGTGGGGTGGTGCCCAAGTTGGGGTTGTACCTTCAGGGCTTGGAAGAAGCGCGAGGCATCAGGACGGTGGCCAGGGATGAGGCAAAAGGTGGCATTGGGCAGCGTTGCCCCAGGCTGGGTCCTAGGGAGGCACAGGTGGGGGTCCCAACACATGAGGCCTAAGGCAGTCTCCCCTGCCCCCACTCTTGATAGGGGGCTCTTGATAGCTGCCCTCCCAGCCCCCAGCACACTCACCTTCCCCATGTGCACACCCACCAGCGTGTTGGCGTGCTAACACTGTGCAGCCGCACACTGGCATGCTAACACAAATGGAGGCATCACACCGGTCCTCGCCCACAGTCTGGGTTTGAGCTCTGCCTCTGCCCTGGGGGATGGTCTAGACCCCTCCCTTCTCTTCTCTGGACTTGGGTTTCCTCATGTGCAAAATGGAGGTGGTGGGACTGGACGTTTCCAAGGCCCATCCCTCTGCCACACACAGACCCTTGGACACCCCTCACCTGAGTGGTCTCCATGCCCTGCCCGCCTCCCTACCTCCCTTCTGAGAGCCCAGGCCATGAAAGCCTCCTTTGTCATGAGGTGGGCTGGCCCCCCGGCCTGGAACCACACAGGAACGGCTGCCCAGAGGCTCCCTCCACAGGACAGGCCTCCTCTGTTCTTCCCATCTCCTCCCTCAGCCCCAGGGCCACACTCAGGCTGCTGTGCCTGTGTGTGGGGCGGAGCAGGAGTCACAGCCTCCTCAGTGCTCCCTCCCTGAGACACTGCCCATTCAGGGAACCAGGGCCTGAGACCCAGCTGGGATATAGGAACCCAGGACTCCAGGGCTCACAGGCCTGAGAATGGTGGTGAACAGGGCCCAGAGGATCCCCGGACCCTCTTCAGCTACAGCCTTGTTGTCCTGAGTCTGAACCTTCATGAAACAAACCTGTGAGGATTTATAGCCTTTATACCAACCCTACTAAACAGATGGGAAGACTGAGTCTCAGAGAAACCCAAGGACTGGCTCAGGTCACAGGCAGGGTTGGATTAGAGCTGGAACTATAACCAATATGTGATTAACTCCTCTCCCTGGGTTATTCGAACCTCTCCAGACTGCCACTCAGGGGCTCTCCCAGAGGACTCCTGCCTTCTTCAGTGCTCAGGGGTCTACTAGGCTGCCCCTGGAGGAAGCCACAAGATAAATAAGACAAGCTCTACCTCATTAAAAGCCATATCGATGGTCCTCAGTCTCCAAAGAGACTGAAAACCCCGAAGTCTAAGGCTTCAGACACAAGACTGCTCAATACCTGCACCCCTCAGTCCTCATTAATCTGCATTATTCCCCCCTCTGTGGCTTTGTATGTCCTTCTCCCTCTACCTAGACTACCCCTTCCTGCCTTGCAAGAATTCCGCCTACTCAGTGTTAGTGTCTGAGCTCAAACATTACCTCCTTCGGGAAGCCCTCTTGATCTTTCCAGAAATGGCCCCTGCTCTCTGTTCCCACAGTCCCGGTATGCACTGTGATAGTAATGAGCCAGGCTCACCTTTACTGAGCACACACCTTGTTCTAGGCACTGTGTTTTAGAACCATACAGACTGTGAATGTTCCATTTTACGAAGAAGAACTTGAGGCCTAAAGAGGTCACATAGTTCTGATGTAGAGGGGCCAGGCCGGTAGTTAACGGGGCCTCTCTCTAACAGTGTGTCATAACCAGTGACTTTCTTCTCTAAGACAGCTATTTGAGGGCAGGGGTACCCATCTCAGTTTTTCCAGGGCCTGGCAGATAATGGGCACTTAGTGGGTGCTAAATGAGTGATTGGTCAGTGCGCACTAGAGGACTGAGGACCACTTATCTGAAAGGTCTATTTCGGCACAAATTCTAGTAATGAAGCTGGCTGGGAGTAACCAGTGGGTGGTCTTGGGAGGTGGTGAGTTCCCCATGAGTACAGGCAAACAAGCAGAGGCTAGACGAGCACCTGAGTGTGTGTGAGATTGCATTATCGAGGGGACATTATGGTAACTGCTGATGAATTTCTGGGGCTCTGTGACCCTGTAAGGGGTGGGCCACAGGCCAGCACCTTCGGGTCTTGGTTTCTGAGGAAGGAATCAGTGTGGCTCTACCCAGGGCCCCACCGTGACTCCCTGTGCCTTCGGCACTTGGGGCTTCATGCCCCTCCCCACTAAAATGTTAAAAAATATATCTGATAACTGTTGGCATGAAAGTGAACATATTCACATTTATGGTAAGACATTCTCTTTTACCTAAAAGTTCATTTCTTCTGATTTTCAAAGAAAATATTCTCACATTTTCTATCCTAAGACAGAAACATGTTTTCCGTTTCAAGTACCACAGGTCCTTGTGCCTCCTGTGCCCAGAGGAGATGGGCTGGGGGGGGTGGGGGTGTTGAAGCATGCCTTGAATTTATGTAAAAAAACAAACAAACAGGAGAGCAGAATTATCCCCACGCAGCTTGTACACACACAGTCTCTCAGAAAAGACACCTGAGAAACTGGAAAGAGTATTGAGCTCCAGGAAGGAAAACTGGGTGGCCGGAGGGGGTGGGAGCGAGACTTTACTGTAGACCCTTTATACCTTTGGAATGTTGTACCCAGTGAATGAATTCGCTATTCATAAAAATAAATAAATAGCAATTTAAATGGGTGGAGGCTGATTCCAAAGCCACAGGAGACCATTCAATGAAGGTAGAAAAACATGAGCTTTGGAGCCAACTTCGCTCCATCCCAGTGCCCGGTCAGAACTGTGAGGGGGCCGTGGTGAAGATGGAGCTTGTCACCAAAGGCCCAAACCGAGGCCCTCGAGCCTCAGTTTCCTGTTCCCTGAAATAGGAATGACCTCTCCCCTGAAGGGAGCTTGCTGTTGTAAAGCTGGTCCTACACCTGGGCCTGGGCGCCTCCCGCAGTGTCAGCCTCGCCCCTCCCCCCTCAGACCCGCTGAGTGAATGTGGCACAGCGGGGCCTGTGAATTGCCTCTTTCTCTGGCCAGCACTTGTTTATTCAGGCCACCTTGGGGGTTGGGGGCTGGCCCTGTGGCACAAGGCTTCTCTCACTCCATCCCTAATCTGCTTGGCTGGCTCAGGCAGCTGCCAGGCACTTTAGGGAAACTGAGGCTCAAACTTCCCCACCAGCAGAGGCCAAAGTCTGAAGGTCTTGAAGTTCAGAGGACAATTAGAAGCTGCTAAGCATCATACCTGGGAAATTAACTTATCAAAAATGCTGCTCAGAGGGTGGCCATGTGGATTAGAAAACCTGGGCTGTTCTGCCAATTTTGGATCCATCAGTAAACGCTTAGTAAGCACCTTCCTAAGCGGGCAGCTCCCTAACTCTCAGTTTCTCAAAGGAGTTCAGGCTGAAAAAGCTTTCAGATTCACTCATCACCAACCACCATTAGCAATAACTTAAGAGGCAAGAACAGCTAAGTGCCTGGTTAGAAAAGGAGACGAGGCCTGGTGAACAGAGAAGTGTCTCCTAAGGTGAGCTCTGCCTGAGTTCTGAACTTGAGGTGCCTGGGGGGATCCCCTGGTGACTGTGAGCATGGAGGGTACTGCAAGGGGGTGACAGGGCAATTCCATTCTCATCCCCTGGCGGGGGTCCCTGGAGGCCATGTGCCTTCAGGAGGTACAGGATCCCATTCCCACAAGAGCCCTTTGATTGAGAGAAGCCCCAGAAGCCCCAAGCAGAGGCAAAAATGGAACTTGGCCAGGTGAAGAATTCCTCGGGGGAAGGGGAGCTCAGAATAGCCCATGTTGTTCTAGCAGAATATGGGGAGATGCCCAGGGGAGGGAGCCAGGCAAGGATTCCAAAGTGACAGGTTCCAAGTCAGGTCAGCCTGGGGAATGATGGGGATCCCTCCGCCTCAGAGGCCCTGGACAACCTCAAAAGGACTTTCCTCCCTGCCTGTCCAGCTAGTCTTGGATAATGCTGGCCTCCTGGGGGTGAGAGGGGCAAGGGTACTTAAGGGGTGCCTACTTTACCACCTGAAGCATGTGACCCCAACTAGCCCCCGCGCATGAATAAGCTCTCCAAGCCCTTGTCTATGGGTCTATCCAGGACTCTCACTGCTGGGACGTTCTTTTGACCTAATTTGTATTTGCTGTAACCAAAGCCTGTTTCTTGGAGAGGTTTATCCCCAAAAGTAGACAGAGAAGCACCTTTCATCTGTGACCAGTTATTAATCTCCATGGCCGCTCTGAGGCATGTGATGTCTAACCCCCTTGCTTAAATCTCAACACTCTAATGCTGACCTCAGAGACAGGCAATTCCGGCTTGAAAGACTGGATGGGTGTCCTCAGACAAGTTCCTAACCTCGCTAAGCGTCAGTGTCTGGTACGCAGACACTTAAATGGCAGCAATTAGTATTATTTTATTAGACCCACTATTCAGCACAGAGCAAACACTAGAGCAGTCCATGTCAGATAAAATATCAGGGAAGGAGGGGTTGAAGTTAGCCAGAGGGAGTAGGAGGGAGTCTTCTTGGGGGACACCCCAACCCGCCTTGGACACCCTTGAGGCAAATCACCCCCTTGGGGGGTAGCATTCTTTGCTACCTGACTCCCACTGCTGCAGCAGAGGCCTAAGTTTGCCAGGGCCGGCAAGCCCTCCCATCTTGGTCCTGACCTCTTCCCCTGACCCTGGGCTCTCTCCCATCACAGACCCTGCCCACCAGCCCCCAAGGGGAAAGCTCCACTTACTGCTCAGATCCAGGGTTCCGTTCACAGCGCCCATCCCAGGGGCAGGCAGAGTCGCTGCCTGCCACACGCCACCCGCCCCTCTCTTCTGCCAGGGCTAGCAGGGCCACCCCGGGCTGGGGGCTGTGCTGTCGCAGCTGGCCAGGAGCCCTGCCTCGCCACGGGTGGGCTGCAGGGAGAAGCGGGAGGGCCACGTCGAAGCCGGGCCGGAATATGTCCATTGCCGGGCTGGCCTCGGCCACCATTGCCTGTCCCAGCCGGAAGGTCTGGGAACAGGGGGCTGACTGGAGACTGAGGACCAGATGGTTCCTGCCCCCATTCCACTGGGGGGGCACCAGGCTGCAATCTCCAGCCGGGGTGTCCAGACTGAGGAGGAGGAAGAGGCAGGCCTCGGCAGGGCTGAATGTATGGTATCGGGAGCCCTCGATGGAAGCCAGGATCCTGCGGTGAGTCTCCGAGCTCTGTCCAGTCGCCGGGTAAGCGAATACCTTGAGGCCACCGCCCCTGCACTTGGAAGAGTCAAAGCAAGCTCCCCAGTCACAGCTGCCACTGTGGGGGGCCAGAGGCGGTCGAGGGGCATCTTCCAGGAGCTCCCCAGGCTTGGAGAAGCTCTGTAGGAACTCAGCATCCAACCAGTGGGGCCAGCCTTCCGGGGCCTCTGGCCGAGGTCTGGCAGGCACTGCCAGGTGAAGAAGGAGTGGCAGGACTCTCAGGAGGACAAGGAGCCAGGAGGCCAACAGTGCCAGCCAGAGGGACTTTCTTCTGCACAACTGCATGTGGCCACTTGCAGCCAGGCCTGGGGAAAGCCAGAAGAGTGGGGGGTCTGGGGGTGGGTTGCCAGAGCTGCACTGGACCTTCTAGTTCAGTGTCCTCATTGTACAGATAGGACGGCTGAGGCCGGGGAGAGCGGGCTGCCGGTGTCAGGTCAAGCCGGTCAGGCACGAGGAGGTCGGGAGACCCAGCTTTCTGGCCTTGTCCTCCTGTGGTCCGGACTCTGCTTCCTCGGCCTTTGGACAAGTCAACCTTTGCTCTCAGCAGGGGCTCTGCTTCTGGGGCCCTCTCAGGCTGATGCAACCCCTGTCAGGACTGCAAGGCCGTGTCCTTCTGCCCTCCTGGCTGCACCTCCTGACTTTCCCCTCAACAGAAGGGAGGGTCGTGTGCCAGGCCATGGGGGACTCATCAGGGCTTGGCCAGGGTGCAAGGCTGGAAGGAAGCAGGTCTGGTCTCCCCAGTCTGTCCCCTGCCTGAGCTACCCCTGAGCAGCCCTGGTGTCCCCTGGCTACTCCTGGACTTGGGCCCTGGAACTCTAGCTAAAATTAGACCTTGCACCCCATCTAGGCTATCAGGGTCAGCTGAGGTCAAGGCCTGGATGCTCCCCCTGCGTGGGTAGCCCCAGGAGGGATCTGGGTTGTGGTCCTCTCCTACCCGCTGCTGTCCCCGGCTCAGGTAACTCAGCTCCTTCTTCCCCCACCCAGCAGCTGCACCCTCTGGCTCGGAGCTATCAGGGTGCAGAAGCCAGGGACCCCGTGCCAAGTCTCTGTCCCACAGCCGGCAAGCCCCCGCGGTGCCTTCTCTGTCCCCTCTTGGGGCAGTATCTGGAAGGGCTGCATCTCTATCCGAGCAGCAGCTGGGCTCCTCCCCTGCCAGCTCTGATTCGCTCCTGCCTGGCAGGCGGGGTCTCCACTTAACTCCTTCAAAGCCAGTTTTCTCTACTAATAAGAATAGCCTGTACCCCAGTTCTTGTGTTCATAAATAAATAAATCTTTAAAAAAAAAAAAAAAGAATAGCCAGTAGGAACCACACCTCACATTTTGCCAAGATAGGGGAGACCCTGTTTCTGAATTCTCACACAACCCTTAAGGCAGAGGTTCACCACTGCACTGCCATTTCTTACAGATGAAAAAGTGAAGCTCAGAGAAGGGATGGTATTATCCTAAGGTCACTCAGCGAAGAAGCACAGGGTAGGGGGTCGAACCCTGAGCTCCTGACCCTAATCTGTAGAACTTCTCACTGGTCACCCTAGCCAGGGGTCTGGGGCGCCCTCCCTCATCTCGTTCAGCATTTCCAGTCCACACCTGGCACCTCTGCTCTTGCCTGGAGCTCTGCAGGGAAGATGCTTAATGTCTGCCCAGGCCCCATGGGAAATTCTTCCCAAAGTTGAACCTGACTTCCATGTGTCTGCACGCCATTCAGGGGTTCCCCTGGTCAGTTTCTCGGTGTGTGTTCTCTGAAGGGAATCAGGAGCGGGTGACGTCACCCAGTGAGGAATCACTGAACTGATGGGGGAGCCCTGGTCTGAGGAGGAGGTGGACCCTGAGTGGACTCTGCTTCCTGCGGGTTGACGCCAGTTCTCTGCTCCTCTCTAGACAGGGCTAGTGGCATCTGTCATGAGATGGTTCGTCCAGGACTTTCCCTTGGGGGCTGCTCATCAGGGGGCCACCTCCTTCCTTGCTGCCCCTGACCAGAGGGCTTCTGATATTTCCAGGGAGTCGCTATCAGAGTGTTTTACCCTCAGTGGGCAGATCATCTGAGAGCAAGGCGCAGCTCAGTCATGCAAGAATGTTCCAGAAGGGCAAGCAAAGGGAAACCTGGGCTTTTCACCACAATTTCAGTCACAGGTGCTGTGCTGACATCCCTGTGTGCATCCCGCTGAGAGAGGCCAGTCTTTGCTCTGGGTGTTCCCACCACATGTCTTCCCTCCACCTTGCACATCGTGCAGAAATCAACAGAAGGCTCCCTTCCTCAGGAAGCCTCCCTGACTCTCCTCAGGCTGAATTAGGGCCCAGCTCTGGCTTAAAATGCCATTTTTTCATCCTGCTTTCCACAGATACATTCCTTCATCCAGTCAACAAATATTTATTGAGAGTAAATATGGGCAAGGTTCTGTGCAGCACTGGGGTGCACTGAGGAACGGTGATAGCTAATATTCGGGTTACGCTGCATGCCAGGCAGGGCTGTAAGTGCTAGTGGATTCGCTCATTTAATCCTCTCCCGTGGAGGCTGCGAAGGAGGTGCAGAAAGTCACTTAATGCAGTGGGGAGATTCTTGGAAATTGATTTTAAGCTGCACGAACTATAAGGAAACCAGGTCTTCCAAGACATTCTTGCATGTGACTTGGCAAGGATTTTATTTTTTATTTTCTCATCCACATTGAAAGGAAACAATGTTGTTTGAGGACCTGCTGTACCTTATTACCTCCATGCCATTGTGCAGATGAGGAAACAGCCCCAGGAACCTAAGTCACTGGCCTAAGTTCCTGCACCTTAGCCAGGTTCCCAGCAGTCCATCCTGTACCCAACACCTGTTCAATCTCCTGAGTGAGATGCACACCCCACCCTCAGCGGGCTCGCTCTGCGGTGGGCAGAGTTAGGAACCAGGTGATTACAGAAGGAGGGAATGGGGTCGTGGGGGTGCACCTGTGGGCTGCCTGATCCAGGGGGCCAGGGAAAGCTTCCCACAGAGTGACACCTTCCCCAAGACCCCAAGGGTGAGGAGTCCAGCTCTGAGGTTTGGAATCGTGTCTCACTCCTCCTTATCCCCAGTACTAGTGTAATAAATCTCCAACGACTGCTTGCTGAGAGAGTGAATGGATGGACGGACAAAGTTAAGAGGGCTGGGAGGACAAGGCTAGCTGCTGAGGGGCTTTCAGGGACACCTGATTCCGTTCCAGCACCCCCACCCCCAGCCCTGGCACCCTGATTGGCTCATGCCCGTGCCCACACTTGTGCACACACACATGCTCTCTCCTATCTTCATGCCTGCAGGGGAGGCTCTCAGGCCAGCTTGGGCCTGGGCTTGTCTGGACTGCAATCCACACAGTCGCCCTGGGGTTTGGATGAAGGAAGAGAAGGCAGGGCATCTTGGCAGGCAGGGCTGAGCACATTCTAAAAATACACTCTGGACTCTGTCAAGGCCCCTGAGCCTCGACTGGGCTTTTCTGGGCTCATCAAAGCTACCAGGAGTTCCCATCCTACAGCTGTGTGATCAGTGGGACTGGAGGCAACCCTCTGGGGAGGGGGGGGTGGAGCTGGGTGATGGCGAGAGGAGAAGGCCTGGCTTCTGGGAGGAGGCAGCATGGGGTGTGGCCGCCTTTATGTGGATTTGGGGACAATGGGGGTTCTGGAGCCCCCATTCTTTCATCCCAGAGCCCTGAGTAGGGCAGTGTTTGATTCACAGTCACAGTGGTGGCATGGTGCTCCTGCTTGCGGGGCTGGCGCCATGTTGGCCAAGGCCAGGCAGAAAATGGGGCCTAACAGCTCTGTGTGTGATCTGAAGTGTTCCCACTTTACACCCTGATTCTGCCTTCCTCTCTATACCTCCCCTCCTTTCTGGGTTGGACCTAAAATCTCCAGAAGGAATGGACCCAGTTTTCTAAGAGGAAGGGACCTGGCACCCCTCAGTGCTTTGGCTAAGAGCTCAGCTGGGTGCTCTTCACAAGCTGTGTGTGCCTGTGTAAATCACTTCAGTTCTCTGTGCTTGTTTCCTCATCTGTAAAATACTGACAATAGCTCCTTCTTCAAAGGCTTGGTGGAAGAGAATTGCATGACAAAATGAAAGCACAGCATTCAGCACACCAAGCCGAGCACAGAACAGGCACCTAGCAACTGGTATTCTCCATTCCTTCTCAGACAGGGAGAGGGGGCGACTTGCCCCAGGCACATCAAGCTGTCCATCTGGGGTAGACCAGGATAGGACTTGGGTTTTCCCTCTTGCACCCACACTTTCTTCTTCCTGCACGGCTATCTCTGTTCAGAAAGACATTTAGAGCTCTAGGAGGCGATCACCGTGGAAACCCATCTGCTGCTTCTCAGCTGCTGCTATTTGTTCCTCCAGCTCTGAGCTGTCTGGTGTCTTACTGCAGAACTAACAAGTGTGGGGGTATGGGTGGTTGGAGGCTGTGGGGTCTCAGTTCTCACTTGCTGGAGCACAAACAACCCCAGGCCATGGTCAATCCCCAGAGGACCCAGGTTATTAATCTAGCTCCAACTAAGGTGAGTCTGCCCATAGTAGATAACCCACACCTGCCTCCCCCTGGGTAGAGGCAGGGGAACAACCTGGGGGACGCAGGGGCAGGAGTCAGGTTCTGGCTTCTGCTCCCCCCTCCCCAGGCATAGCCCTGTGACCTTGAACAAGTGACACCCTGTTATCTGGGCCTTCAATTTCACACCATCAGGTTAAAGTGGTAGCAAGACTGGCTTTCCAGAACAAAAAGCTCTGGAATTCTTACTCAGAAGTAATCTGGATGCAGTTTGGAAGCTGAGTTCTTCCCTTTCCCATCCTATCAACACTTGACTTTGTTAAGGAAAAGCATGCACACAGTGAAATCGAGGCAACGAGGAAACTGACCTTCATCCTTCCACTGGGGATCATGTAACCAGCCCCCGGTCATGTGACATTTCATAAGTCTGAGAACTAAGGTGCTAATTTGTAGAAAAAAGATAAGATACAAATGATTTTTTTGTCCTACAGTGATATGATTTTTGCCAGTAGAGATGACCCCAACGTTTATAAACTGCAGGGCATTTGCCAGTTTGCAATGTGATTGGCGATCTTGTTCCAGCATTCTCTCTGCTTCATTAACTATCATCGAGTCCTCTGAAGCACCCTTGTCACCCTGATAGTTTCCTCAGGAAGGAGTGAAACACAACACTGAACACTGACATGTGCTGACTCTGGATGATCTTTTTTTTTAACATTTGGAAGATCATAATTTGTTAGTCCACTGAGCCTCGTTTTCCTCTTCTGTAAAATGGGGCATTCAAAGGAGGGGATGTCACATTTGCTGAACTGCGGCAGGTGCTGTTGAGCTCTTTAGATCCATGAGTTCATTTAAGCCTCACAGCAAAACTGCTGGAGGCAGACATTCTCCCCACTTTACAGGTAAGGTTAGTGAGGTTCAGAGAGGTGAAGTGATTGCTCTAAGGCTACACAACCAGTGAGCAACAGCCTGAATCACAGGGGGCTAAGGCCTGCTTCACAGGTTTGTGTTGAATAAGATAACATGGGGAAAGTGCTTGGCAAACTGAATAGGAGAAAGGGAGCAGAATAGGCCACCCCTAAAAGTGCCATTCTGGCATGTGGGTTGGTTTGACCTGAAGGCAATCAAGAGTCAGCAGATTCAAGAAAAACTTTATCTCTCCCTTATTACCTAAAAGAGTTTTGATGGGTGGCCTGGCCTAGAAAGGGAGTGATTGCCAGAGGTAATTTTTTATCTGTATGACGCATCTATATGGCAGGGCAAACATCTGCTCTTCTTACCCTCCTCCCCTTTGAATTACCTCCTCCTCTTTGAAGCCCCAGCCCTTATCCCACTCCTTAGTTCAGGATGACGTATTAGCTTCATTTGTCTGACTTGCCCTTGAGCCTCAGGCTCTTGTAGGAACAAAATTAAAATTGTTTTTCTCCTATTAATCTGTCCACATCAGTTTAATTATTAGATCAGCCAAAGAACCTAGAGGGGTAGAAAGAAAAATTTTCCTCCCTACACAGGTATGCACACATATGAATAATCATAGTCAGCCCAAGACTACCTACCAGCCAGCCACACTTAGACCCATACTGGGCTCCCCTCCC